AATGAAATAACAAGATACTTCACCAAAATCGGCAAAGGTTTCCTTCCATGTGGTTTCAATGGGTTTCGAATGGTGTTCATGATCTTTGTAGTATGGTGAGTTATGGAACAGCTGATTAGGAAGCCCCTAAACAGCTCCTAAAGGCAGCCCTTATGGTCGAACAAATCTGAAGTGTTCTTCCTTGTGCAAGCAGTCTAGTCTAGAAGAGCTGCAGCCCTCATAAGAGGCAGTTCTGACGCCTCTCTAGCTGTTCCGCCCATCCCCTCCCCCCACCAACTCAAAGCTATTTTCTGTCATGGGTTTGTTCTTACTCAGTGTTTCTCGTTGTTTTCCACTGTTGGTTGGTATTAGCTTTGAATGACGCGAAGAAACGACTAGTAAGCTAGAGGGCAGGATCTCGCTTTGCTGGCATAAAACGAGCAGGTCCGGAGAATTCGTTTGAAGAGGCTACCAGTCCTTACTTAGGATGTTCTCCATGACATTTTTGCTTTTTTCTGCCCTGGAGAATCATTTAGCATATGCAGATTTGTAATCGAACGGCATTAGTGATGACTCTTACCCAAGCATATAGACGAATAACTGTGGCGTATCAGAATGAGCGAGAAACGTTTCGGCATCAACCAGGATCTGTACGCGAGATCTATCCGGAATTTCCCTGTGATTCTGATGAAGCTGAAATGAGTAGTCTTGAAAGTTCACTACAAGAAGAGTCAGTAGCCTCATAATGTGTAATTATGCGTTACCAATCTAGCGATCATCTTCCAGTTCGTAATATCGTAGTTGACCCGATAGGGATATTTCCACCGCGAGTTGGCTAAAAGCGGCTGGCTGGACGACAACTCGACATCTACGAACGAAACGCTTCTGTTTTTCAACCAGAATTCTCTCACCACCTGAAAGTTGTGGCTGTAATGATATCTGGCTCAGAGATCTAAACGCGTGGATTTCCCACACATCTGAAACACTGCTTTGTATGGTTGCCCACGTTCAAGCTCACCTGTCCTTCAGTACTTTTCAATGTTCCGAATGTGTAGCTGAATGGAATGCTCCACAGATCACTGGGTTTGGGGGTGTGTCTGGGCTTCCTGAGCTCATCCCTGCGCCAGTCTATTGGTATTCTTGCTGAAGGAGGTGCTGCAGTTGGTCGTGGCTTAAAATTGGCTCAATCATAGCTGCAAAGGCGATCTCTGCTATAGCTCTCAAACCTTCGGCGTTGTCTTCTTCCGAGCGTGTTTTCGACGAGTTTTTGGTTTTTTAATGATCTCTATGGGAGGATCGTCAAAAAGTGAATCATCAAAAAGGGTCGTTTCATGGTAATCATCTCTCCGATAACGCGATATTCCTTGCTCGAGTCCATTCGCTTTACTGGCCCTGGAAGTAAATGGAAGTTACAGTTCGTAGTGCTTGACAGTATACTTCATTTTATGATATATTTGGATAATATTTTCCTCGAAGAATTACATGGATAACACCGTAGGTGTCCAGTGTAGTTACATGAGATCATGTTGAAGAGCGGTTCAGCGGGGGGACGGAGGAAGCGATAGAAGACACAAACACCTGGCTTCTGCCCGCACTTGTGGGAACATTCTC